CTGAGGCACCCAGGTGCCCCCTCCTTTTCTTTCATATGCAAAAATTTATCACATGTGTATGTTTCTGTTTGGGTTATCTTCCCTCTTTAAAGGTGGCATTCTTTTTCTTTCTTTAAAATTTTTTTCATATTTATTTATTTTTGGGGGCAAGACAGGCAGAGCGTGAGTGGGAGAATGGCAGAGAGAGAGGGAGACAGAATCCAAAGCAGGCCCCAGGCTCCGAGCTGTCAGCACAGAGCCCGACGCGGGGCTCGAACTCAGAAACCGTGAGATCGTGACCTGAGCCGAAGTCGGACGCTCAACCGACTGAGCCACCCAGGCGCCCCAAGGAGGCATTCTTATAAGGACAGGCGTACTAGGTTCCTGCCCTGGTTGCTACATGATTGTGGGCAGGTTATTTAACCTGTACGGGCTTCAGTTTTCTCATTAAGAGGATGAGTTGGACTGGGTGACCTCTTCCTTCCAGCTGAACATTCTATGATTCTGTGGTATCTCTGTTGGAGGTGATGGACATATTCTCTACACAGCTGCTGGTTGCTACGTGTTTGCTGGAGGAATGATTAATGCGCTTTAATAGTTTGAGAACAGATCAAACTGAGATCAAACCCCGCCCAGCCCACGGTCAACAGCACTGGGCTCTCTGTCCCACCACTTCTGCTACAAGAATTTGGAAACATAACTAAGATAGGTATGCCAACCTTATGCTCTTTAGGTACGTCTCTGAAATATTAAAAATAAACTGCAGCAAGCATTTTTACCTGGTGTGCACAGCTGAAGATTACTGATCTTTGGGCTCTATGATAACCTAACTTATTTATTATCTGAATGAGGGCAAGCCAATTATCCATGAGTAAACTGCCTTGAAAAACAGAAGATTACATTTAAGTGCAGAAGTTATTTTCATAAGAAATATTTTCAACCAAAGATATTAAAAGAAGCTAGTACACATTCTCTTGCTTTCTTGACCAGGACACTTCAGCTCTTCTCGATTACCTAGAAGGTCACCAATATGCCAAAGTCATTACACTGTGTTAAGACTAGATTCTAGTCCCTCGACTGATGATACTCGAAGGGCTTCTGGACTACCTAGGTCTCCTTGGCCCTCCACTGAATGTGCACACGTTGTCCTGTTGGATAGCCCAAGAGTAAACAGAAGACCCTTGTCACCTCGTCACTTCTATTTCCTCTTGCCAGCTGTTATACCTCATGAATGCCTCGGAATCAAGGGGGCTCTAATCTGCTCCTTTAGGGACATGGCTTGACGATGGCTTCCTCTTTTCAATTAAGCTCAACTATGGGTTCTGTGACATCTGTTTTTTTTTTCCAATCAGAAGCTGTTTCCATTTATTTCCAGACTCATGGCTATGTTCCATATGGTGGTGTTGCTGGGAATCGGATTTGGAGACAAGTGAAAATTTCCCCTACTACCCTAGCAAATCTTCAAATGAGACACCATATGTAAAGAGGTTCTAAAAATTATAAAGTTACACAGAACAATAATCATTAGTACTTCTACAACTACTAGGATTCCAGCCTTAAGAGAAAAGTGTACAAAAACTTCACTCCTCGCTGATAAAATGATCACTGCGTACGCTTGAATTTTCGTCCCCTATGAACACAGAAGACATGTAAATTTATACTACGGAAGATGTGCGTCTTTCGATGCACGTACTAACGCTTGAGGCGTTTAAACCATTTGAATATTCTAAAATATCAAACACAAGAGCTGCTATAAAATATCCGAAACCTTTCACATGTCACTTGAATTTTAACAAGAATGGCAGGCTCTTCTCACGTACAATTTAGTATCTTCGATAGAATCATTTGAGTTTTATAAGCCGCAAAATGAATGCTACACAATACTTTCTTTTTCCACGGTCTTTCAACAAATACTCTTAACCCCTACATCCAGACTTGGGGCGAGAAAGACTGCCTCAGTGGCTTCTACACAATGGAGTAGGTGGCTTCAGTTAAAGCCTATGAATGCGGCCAGTTGGTAGGATCCTTCAGACAGAGAACAGAAGCCTCCCTCTGTCCTGCTGGTCCCCACGAGGGGGCTGTTGAGGTTGATCACACTAACCGCAATCAGTTAGCAAGACACCATCACAAGAGCCCCCCGTCCACAAGCCACAACTTGTGTCATTAAAAACAAACAAAGAAATGTCGGCACAGTGTGCCCTTAACACGGATTTGAAATGCGCAGATCCACGTACACGCAAACTTTTTTCGATAAACTCAGTACTGTAAATGTATTTTCCTTATGAGTTTCTTAATAACATTTTCTTCTTTCTGCCACTTTACTGTAAGTATACACAATATCATACATATAACAAACAAAATATGCATTAACTGACCGTGATCGGTAACGGCTTCCGGTCAATAGTAGGCTATCAGTTAAGTTTTTCTGGGAGTCAGAAGTCATACCCAGGTTTTGGACCAGGTGGGGGTCAGTGCCCCCAACCCCCAAGTTGCTCAAGGGTCAGCGGTGTTTCTTTGCTCCTCTAACATCCTTATGTCACAAGAGAGGGAACACCACAGGAAACTAAAGTTGGTACAATTTATGAATATCACTGAGAATTTTATCAATACATCCACATTATGTCTTATTCTAAAAGCAACTACAATTAGACTGAGATGGCAGGGTTTTCATGGCTTATTAACCTTTAGAGCTTTGGAATCCGTTTCAGAAGGAGACCTTTCTGAGTTCTAGGACTTGCTTCCCTAACCCAGGCTTTTTTTTTACAAAGAATGTCCCTCGAAGGCTACCATTTCCGTGAGAACTTGCTGGGATTCCTTGCAGGTTAAATCCGCTGTCTCGAGTGCAACTTATCAAGGGGTTGTTCACATTTAAGTTGGAATATATGTTAGTTTTGAATCAAACTTCTCTTTTTTTGGTTTCAATCTCCCCATCAGCTCCACTGTGCACGATGTACAACAGCAATTTATTACAGTCCACACAAACTCCATCTCCATATAAGGGACTGTTCTGTGATTTATTTTACTGTATTTTTCTGAGCCCCTTTAATGTATCTCCTGGGCTATACACCCCAAAAACCAGAAATCAGCAATTTGAAAAAAAAAAAAAAGGTCGAGAAACCGTGAATTAAAAAGCTAAAAACCTGGAGATAACCTTGACTTAGCAGCCAATCTTGAACTGACTCTTCAGTCTGGGACACTCGCACCGGAAATTATGATGGCGTTAAACTATTCAACAGGCATCTTTACCTCCAGCCCGCTCCCATTAAATGTCTTACCCAAAATAAAAAAGTTATCTCTCCAGAAAAAAAATCTAAAGGTTTCACTGTTCTGCTCCAAAGCCGTACAGAGCTTCCAAGTGCACACAGAGAACAAACTTGCTAGCTTCGTATACAACCAAGTCCCCTAAGCCATGACCCAAAGTATGTTTTAAATCTCCTCTCCCGCTGAGCCAATCTTCTTCTCGGTTCTGCCCCTGCCATGCCAGCCTCCCCCAATCACACAGTCCTTACCAAGGACATCCTGGACTGTACCCCTGTTTACCCGCGTCCTTGTCAAACCGCACTTCCCCTATGACACTTCTCAATCCTCCTCTCTCAGGGTTTGCTTGAAATTCCTCTGTATTTCAACAGTTCCTGGATCAAAGCTTTACTTCAGCACGTCACACACTGCGCTACTTAAGAAAAAAGTTTCGTGTGCCTTTCCTTCTAATTTCTGGATTCCTCAAAGTTAGAGGCTGCGTCTTCTCTGGGCCCATGGGGTCTAGCAGGTAGCAGAGACGTAATCAGTGCTTGCAGACTAAAGAAAGGACGGACCATCGCAGGATATATTGTTTCTCTGGCAGTGACTTGGAGCCAATGCTTCCGACTAAGCTAGTATGGATGTGAAGGAGATCTGGCCAACCATCCCAGATCAATAAAACGAGTAGAGTGAGGCAGATCATCCGACTCTCTTGTGTTCAGCCCTCCTTTGTCCTACCTACCTCATGTTCAACTGAAAAGAAAAATTATGAGGCGCCTGGGTGGCTCAGTCGGTTAAGCGTCCGACTTTGGCTTAGGTCATGACCTCACGGTTTGTGGGTTCGAGCCCCGTGTCGGGCTCTGTGCTGACAGCTCATGCTCTATTTCTCTCGGTCTCTCAAAAATAAATGAACGCTTTTCATTAAAGAAGTTTTGTAAAAGAAAAATTATAACCACTATTATGGCTGAGCTATACTGGTAAAAAGGGAGAGATTTTTCTATTATTTACTCTAAACTGTGATATAAGCCACATGAGACTAGAAGGCCCCTGGCTATATAACAGTATTATGAGCTTGTGCAAATCATTTAGCCTCTCTGGGACTGAGGTGAAAAACAGAGCTATGAAGGCTTTGATTGTCACAGGGCTGAGGGGCCAGACAAGACAGAGGTATTTTTTTCAGTTCTAAGCTCTATGATCCCACCCACCCATCCATCCACCCACCCACCCATCCGTCCGTCCATCCATCCATCCATCCATCCATCCACCCATCCATCCGTCCATGAATGCTGGAGATCTCCCACAGCTCTAATATCTACAATTCTCCACCTATGAAAGCTGGATTCAAAGAAAATGCAAGAAGTCCTAAACAGTTTGCCAGCACCCGTGTTATGTCAAAAAGAACGACTGAGGGAGGTGCAAGACTGCAAGCGAGGAACTCACCAACACTGAAACAAGTTTCTCCAGGTGGTGTTTGCTTGGGTTCACTCCTTACGTTTTGGGTTTGGTGTCGTTGGCCGAATAGTTTGGGAGGTCACAGTGAAACTTAAAAAGGGGCCAAACAGGCCAAAATTAAATAAGGAATCGCGAAAGATTTGGAAAACCGACAGGGTGAATGCAATCCTACTAAATCATATCTGAGAACGGTCCATGTGTAAAAAGCAGGCCGGCCACAGTCACATTCGCGTACGCTTCGGTATCTGCTCTATTTGCTCAGGGGAAAAAGGAGACTGAACATCTAAAGAAATATGTGGCTTTGACAGGTCAGCGATAATTCCGGAGTCTACCTTTGTTTCTGTTGCATGGGTTGCTGTCTCATAGCCATATACTGCATGTCTTCTTGCAGACGATTAAGAGGGGAATCTGGCTTGACACGGATCCCATAGTAATGGTACTTGGAGTTTCCTCTTCATAAAAGAACAACAAACATTAGAGACACAAAAAGTCAGTTAAACCAGTATCAATCAGACAGGATGTCTACCTCACTTCACATCTGGAAAGATTAGGTAAAAGCAGCATATTCGCGTCACAGACTTACGATCTGCCTGTTCCAGATTATACCTGTCCATTTTTATGGTGGCTACCGCTAAAGAATCAAAATAAGATTTCGAATCGATCAGCGCAGGGCCCTGGGAAAACTCTCTCCTTATAAACTTAGATACCAGTACAACAGCTCACTTACTCCATTGAAGTTACACTTTGAGTTTCAAATTTGCGTTTTAGATTTCATTTAGAAGGGGTAAAGGTGGAAAACACACCTGGCCAAGAAAAATCCATTAAGAGGATAAAGGGCTCTACACTAGAGGGGATTTTACTAGAAAGTAGTGACACAAAACGAAGAAAAGAAATCTAATTCTGTGGTCTTGGATAAGTTAGGGCTACATTTTGCGACGTCTATTACTGCAGGATGGGGGAGGGAACCTGACTGATACAGAATGTTGTGGTAAAGTCTATCATGTGTTATTCTGAAACCTAAAAGGAGGCAGGCGTTTAATCCATTGGTTTTGAAACATATTTTATTAGCCTCTGTTTTAACGAATTCTTATCAGTTTGCAGGCTGAATACGATGTGTCACAACAGACATGGGGAAGTTTCTCTGTGAAAATGGCAAATTTCCACCTGGATCAAAACTGTCACAATTTCCCCATCTTCATGAGAAAGACCGTGTTTGTTATTAGAGATGACAAAGTTTTGCTCTGAATGAAATTTGCAAATTCTCGCAAAAATAACATCTTAAATATGTAAATTTTTGCAAAGGGAAAATAGCTTTTCACAAGTCTATATATAGCAAGACATCAGCTGCTTTTCCATTTTTTTCTTTCATTTACAAAAAAGAAATGCAAAAGTGTGGATTAAATATTTTATATAAAAATAGAACAGAATTTTACTTCCAAGATTAAAGAACATAGATCAAATGAAGCCTATATATTCAAAAGCATTACAATCTTATTACATAAATAATATTGCTAGTTTTAAAAAAAAAGTAGGGCGTCTGAATATCTATATAGTTTCGGCAAAGTATGTAACAGTATGGAAACTTAAATGCGTTCCACTTGCAGAGATAGATCTTGTCTCCAAAAGTCACTGCAAAATAGAGCAAAAACACGAAAACAAAAACTCAATTAGTAGTGTTCTCCCTCACAAACTGGAGTAGGGGTAGTAGAGTGGGGAGAAGAAGGGGAAGCAGGCGACAGTCCCCAGGGGATGTAGCCAATGACAGCTACAGAGTAAAACGGGGTCTCCCTTGTAGACGGAAACAGATGAAGTGTCTAGTTTCTTCCATGTTTCCTGCAAACGAGCATTTTTGTTGGGTTGGTGGGGAGCCGGTAGGGGGAGATCAGCACGTCTCACGGTCTTCTTTGCTTAAACTTAATTTGCAGATGGATTTGAACAAAAGACACCTTTTGATTTGCCTTTGTTTAGAAACTTGGTTTTCACCTAGCTCTAAAACCTCAAGAAATGGCCCAGTTCTGCCTCATGATTTATACTCATTTTCTTTCTGTTCCCTGGGTTAGGAGGAGTAAATGAGTGCTAAACCACTTTCCATGGTAGAAAGGATCTCCCTCACCATCGGCAGTGTTTCGACTTTAGAGTTCTGCTGCCTTCATAACACAGTATTTGTTTAAACTTTCCCCATCGGATTTCTTCTCTCCTCATTTCTCTAAGGCTTTACTTTCTGTCCCTCTTTGAAAATACCACATATAATTTTAAAAGGAACGGGAGACACAATTGTTACTTAGTGAGAGGGCAAAAAAGAACATCAGAAAGTAAAAGCTGTGATGTTGCGAAATGTACTTGTGGAGTATAGATTCTACTCATTCACAAACCCAAACAACCCCAATTTTGGTCCTTTCTATTTTAAAGATGTGTTTCAAGGTCTGAATGGAGCCTCAAAATAGGACCCATTGAAATCCCTTTCGACAACAAAAGGAGCACAACAATACCGCTATTAGAATGTTGAATAAAGCCCAGAGTCTCAAAATATTGGCATGGTATGCGTAACTACTGAGCCTGAGCCTTCCGCTAGCGGATAAGAGGTTAGATCCCCAAATAATGATTTTTGTGGTTCTGGCAAAAGAAACAGGAGAGAAACAAAGAGCTTTTTTCAAGGGACTGAAAGCTTTACTTCCTTTAGCCTGAAAAGACAATCATATTCTCCCGTTTAAAATATACTATCTTTTCAAGTATAGGTAGAAGAAAACATATTTATGAGAGAGCTGAACCTCTAGCAATCTGAAAGCTGGACGGTCACTTGAAACACAACGGGAATGGAATAACTCACGCTCAGGATACTTAGAGACCTTGTAAATGACATAAAACTGACACTCCCTTTTTCTTAGCATAAGCCTACAATGAAGTCAATTAGTAAGGGTCTCTTTATTAAATAGTCTTTACTAGAATACTATGAAGCTGTGACTTAAAGCCAATTAAAGGAAGAACGTCCAACGTTACATGGTGTGGTATCTTTATTTTTATACTTTTTATTAGGGATTTCTATAAGCTTTAGGAAATAAAAAACATCCATATCCTTCTGCCCAGCTTCTCAAAATATTCATGTTATGATAATTTGTAAAAACTATAGAAAGGCACAAAAATGAATCTCTACAGTTCCAACTATTATTTTCATCATATTTTGATTAGGAAAAACACTCCTTTCTCTTTCCAAAGGAAGGAAACGAGAAGCCAAGAATCTTCTTCACGTTACTGGTTTCCATGCTACGGAAGCACGCTATCTTTTTGCTTCTATACACGTATGGTTGCGTAGCCAAGATTCTAAAGAAGGCTAATAAGAGGTTAAACAGAACCATGTCATTACCGAGGGCTTCCAACACCCCAGCTTTTCAAGTTCAACAAATGATTTTTCGTTGATCTCCAAAAATGAAATGAAAAACTCAGCTTTAATTTCGTACTCTATTCAAATAGAAGAGTTATTTATAAAGACATTTCAGTATAATTTTGCAAGAGTCAAGAAATAACATAGTTTTCCATTTACTATGTCACTTACTCATCACTTCTGGTATGATTATTTTTCAAAAGAGAAAACAGGGAGATACGTTAATTTTTAAGGCACCGTGTGTAAATCTTACGTTAACAGTTTGGCTTGCTGATTTCTGTATGACGTGAGAGAATCAGTTCTCAAAGCTTTGGCCAGCTGCTGTGTAAGACAATGCATCATCCCCTTTTGCAGCATTCACTGAATAACGACCTTTCCTTTTCTCAAGAGACTGTATAAACTGAGCTATTTCCTCATTTTTTCTTTATATGTCATCTGTAATCAAGCACTTCTGCTCACGCACTGTCCCGAACTGCGTTAGTGTGAAAAAGAGGGATTCGTTTAGGATCTTAGTTTTTCGTACTAACCTAGTTCCCAATCTCCTGGTTCGGAGCCCCATAAAAATTGACCTTATTAGTTTTCCAAAAGAAGCAGCATTGACTGGGTCCAGTTTGTGTTCCTGACAGTGTCGTAGGTAGTGGTTATACAGCGTGCTTCTAGGAAGGCTCACTCCTTCTGCGGTCTCGTAATTGTCCAACAGCCACTGGAGCTAGTGTAAAGAAGACAGGGTAAACACAGAGAAACCATATCATTTACCAGAATGTCTACAAGACCCTACAGATACAATGGACAGAAATACTTAGATACTCATCAAACCTTGTAAGAGGCTAAACTGTTGTAAGTCAAAGGCTGCCGTAACCAGACCTTGAAAACTCTCAGAAACGTAAATAAATAGCTGGATGTAGTTTATGACCTCGGACCACGTCCATTCCTCAAACAGTCAAGCGCACGTAAAAAATCCTCTTTTTCCCTGTATTGACTGCCATTTTGCAGGCAAACACCTCTTCGGGGAATTCAAATAGTCCCATTAACTGGTCAGATGTAAAATTTATAATTGCTACAGAACAAGACAGATTACCAAGCCTGGCAGCCTGGCACAGAGTATGTCTCTAGTGTTGGTATGTTATGAACAGCAGGGTGCCTTGTATGAGTTTTTGTATGAAGTTTCTATTCACTTCCCTAGAATTTTAATTTACTTATCTAATTTACTCACACAGGTCAGTACAACACTATTATCTACTGGGTAGGATGCTGCAAGCAGAAAGGAAAAAAACAAATTCAGTCATTTCTTCCCCAGAAGGAAAGAAACTCACTAGACATTGATTTAAAAAAAAAAATGTAATAAAAAGGAATCATTTATTACAGTCATTTGAGTTTTCCTACCTGAGTGCTGTGTTCTTGTTTTTGTTTCATAATTTTGGAAGATACGCTACAATGGTAGTTGGTAAAGTAACATTTTCTCAGTTTATAGTTTACATTTGAAAAGCTTCTGTTGTCCTATGTGTATTTCTTTAAAGTGTAGAAAGTGCAAAGATACTTCAGAAAGTATAAACTAGGTATATATTATTAAATTTCAACATTAGGAAAATTAAGTTATTAATTCGTTCATTTATTTCTTTACAAAAGGAGAACTGAAGAACATTTAAATGACTCTCTGAAGGTCGCATGGTCTCAGAGTGCGATCTGGTTCCCAACACATATTTTCTGATTACCTGCAGACCAGTTGTTGTTTCCACAAAGCAACAAAATACTTCACAGTATTTGTCTCAACAAAATTTCCATACCATATATAAGAGATGTGATCAAGAAGTGATATTTTACGTGCAATGTAAATTAAACGTAAGTTATGGAAGCCTAAGAATTTCTTTACTGTGCATCAGTTATGAGCCGGGCAATGTGGTAGGCACCTAGGGATGCAGAAATGAATGTGATCGCACCCCTGTCCTCAGGAATTTATGATCACAGTCCAAAAAAGATAATATGGACACTCAAATATACTAAAACATTTCTCCATTTTGCTTACTTACTTTAAGATCTGTGAACAAACTCAGAACCTGAACCTTCAGACTCCTGGTATTAAAAACACTTTCAGAATTACTGCCTTTAACTATGACAACTGAATTGTCCAGAATCATTTTAATTTCAAATATTCCTACATGATGCTTATGTTTAATTAAAATCATGTCATTAAACTCATACTGATGTTGGCTTAGAAAATATGGCCACCAAGCCTACAAGACAGAGCAGAGTACTTTTAAAAATAAAGTTCACGTTCCCGTCAGGGAGACCTGAAGTTCTCTGCGAACCACTTAGGCATAATGAATATGTACATTTAAACATACCTGTTGCCTCTATAATGTATACAGCCCTCCCTCTTCAAAAGGTTACACAAAATAAATGTTCATTTACATAATGACAAAAAATTAAAGGTCAAAAAGAATTCTTTAGAGATGAGTCATCTGTAACCTGTCAGTAAAGAAGTTTTCCAGAGGCAATGATTTCTAAGTATTCTAAACGACACATGAAAAAGTTCACTTACACATATTCATTTGGTATAAAAGAGGAAGGGGCAAAAAGCTTGGGAAATCTAGGGACTATGGCTCAGAGTAGTATTCTGCCTACAACGGGGGTGGGGTGGGGTGGGGGGTCAAGATGTCTCTAGCCTTTCTTTTTAAATTTTAAGATTCTGTAGCTTAGGAACACAAGCAGGGTGATGACGCACAAAATATGGCCATACAAACCTGCCTCATAGATTTCATCCACGTGCCTCAGTAAGATGACGGGAATCTGAAAGCATGGTTACCTCACTTGAACGGTGTCGGAGAAGTTCTAGGGAACCATATTGCCCAAAAGTGCTAACTCTGGCTTTGTGTGCATGTACTAGTTAGGGCCTTCCACTGGTATTCTAAATATATAAAGAATATAGAAATATAAAACAGAGAAAGTAATATTCTTTGAGAAATTCAGTTTCTGGAGATGAAGGAATAGAAAGGAAACACCAAAAATAATCCTCAGAAAGGGAAACGTATAAAAACTCTATTTTGTGGAAAACAAGTATTTTGCAAATGAGTTAACAAAGCGCCCATATCCACAAGCATGGAACAAAGTTAAAAATGCCAAAGGTATGTTTGTATATATTATCTGTGCTTCCTCATACAAAAATACATGTTGTCACGGCCAAACAGTATGATTTTGTAGCAAAAAAATACTAAAAATCAAATATTCCCTCCTTTATGAATGAACGGAACATACATCTATTCAGGAAGCGAATAAAGATACAAAGCAAATAAAACAATTTGTTTAATTAATGAGATACAAATGGAAAATTTCTGTAGACTGCCTTGACTACTTACTAGTTTTCTTGCAATATTTCATAACTTAAAAGTAAAGACAGGTATCTGAAAAAAATGAGTTTACTAATGTTTCATGATGAAGACCACTGTCTTATAGATAAAAGAATCTGAAAAAACAAATCTAGTAATAAAATATGTGTAGGGTATGGTCTTAAGGTGCCTTTCATAAAAATGAAAAGTAGTGCAAATATTAAAGTTAAACATAAAATATTTTGGGTCCAAAGGTATGTTTACATACATAAAAGAGTTAATCAGACAATTCTTTGTCAAAGAAAACTTACCACAGAAATAGATAATTCTAGCAAAAGTGGGCTTAAAACACTCGGAAGCCTAAATAATATTACTCAAGGCCCAAAAGAACAATTTAGAGAAGATGAAGTATTTATTGGATTGGCAGTATGGTCCCCTGAAAAGCTAAGCAAGTCAAATAACCTGGACAGACCGCTTTGCAAACTTACTGTTCTTTTTGGACAGTTTCACATTCATACCGATTCTTCATTTCTAAACCAGTTTTTCAAAAACCTGAGTTCCTTTGTAATATGTGTGAGTATGCGTGTCTGCACATGCATTTGTGGGCATATGTATTTCTATATGTATATAATGTTATTACACACACCACAGGCTCACACACATAAAATAATCATCAGTGGGTGTGAAAACCTCCCTAAGAGTGGGTGTGCTGACGCCTACCACTCTGACGGAAGCAAAGGTGCATTTTGTTCCCTGCCTCTCATTCGCAGGAAGTTGCCAGAAGGCTGGAGATCACTTTGGAAGAGCAGAAGGAGGTCGAACGGAGGCAAAAAGCCCGGAAGGAGGGAGATGGCTACTGCTGCGGCCGTAACTCTTCCAGCTAGGAAGCCTGTCAACAACCGTGTCACCTAAGGGTAGTGCCCCGTGTCACCTAAGGGTGGTGCTCCTAGGAGCTCATGATGGAAGTAGAAACTGGAGCTACCAGATAAGATTTTGCGATCGAGCAGGGGACTATGTGCGTTTTACATGCCAGGATTTAACCTTCCAGTTTGGACACAGTGATCGCACTGTAAATCAGATATTGGAGTCTGAAACACAGTATAAGAAAGGATTAATTTTATCGTACGAGCAAGTTGGTTGTTGAGTGTAACCTAAAGGCATACACTTCTTGTGTTGCCCAAGGGAAGTTCATGCCTGTTACAAGATATAGTTTGCTTGGGTTTTGTCGGACGCTAAAATTCAATACCCTTAACATTTAGTAGTTGAGATCTAAACTATTACAATTTGTTTTTACTCTTTATAAAATGTTGTAAGATATTTGTTTACATTTATGGTTTTAAAAGCCCATAAAATACCACAGGAACCTTTAACCTTTATCTTTAAAACTTGATTATTCTACTAATGAATCAACATAAATTCACGTAAGAGTGGAAGGCATGATAATTGCATCTTTCAACCTTTGCATTTAATCTATATTAATCAGGGTAGATTAAGGAAGATGAACAGTTCCTATTTTTCCCAAAGGGAAATACTGATTGACAAATTTAAAAAAAAATACATATTGCATTCCCCAATTAACATCTAAATGTAACATTTGGCATTTTTTCCCAGATGGATTATTATCCATTAGGATTCATTTTAAGTTCAGTTCACTGATGATATGCATTTTGACAGGGCTTATTTCTGTCATAACTTATATTTACAATACAGCAGAGTTGAAGGGAAGTGAGTATAAAACTAGGGTTTGCTTTGAGCTGAATACATTTCAGTAGCTAAACCCGGCAAAAATCATAAAACAACTATTTACTAGGTTGTAAAAAGTATGTAAAATAAATGCCTAATGCTTTTTATATACTCTAAATGGAATTTAAAAAAATGTACATGTTCTAGAACGTTATGTGGGAACTGGGAACAATTAACTTAAGGACATTTCTGCACTCGCATTTACAATCTAAAATATCTCACATTGGATACAAAATAATCACTAGATGCCAATTTCTATTAATTACAATGGAGAAGGAGGATAAAGTAAACCTTGAGTCTGCAGTGACACTCTGGTGCATGAGACAGACTATACACATCATTTACCCCCACAGCATCTTCACATACAAAATATTAAAACACAGAAATATTTAAATAAAAATTATGATAGCAACAGACTGAATTCCATGAAGCTAAATCACAAGCACCATTCTAAAGACAAGGAGATAAATGAGGGCACCCTTGGCTCGTATTTTTTTGCGGGGTTAAATTATTCGGAGGGGGGGAAAAGTTGTCCACGCTTACACTGAAGGTTGCCCCTGGGGAAATGATAGAGCGATAATATGTTCTTTCACTCACGTGGTATGCAGGGAGAAAGCCACTTTCTACCAACAATGTTCATACACCAGCCGACCAAGGCATGCGTGATAATGAAACAATGCATGCGGGAGTCCCCAAATAAATGCACACGTGACTGGCAAAGGTACTTAGAATACGGAAGGTAAGATCAGGTCTGCTCCCTTCTATTGTTTCTTATGTTCGTCCATTTGACAAATATTGAGGAAATTTCTCCCACGTATCAGGCACTGTTCTAGGCACCAGGGATGCGTCAGGGAACAAAACGTATAAAGTCCTCACTCTCTTGGGACTTTAACTTATCAACGTATATTTACTATCTGCCTGCGTGGTGTTACTACTGAAATAATTGCCATTCTGTGAATACTAACAATATATGTCAATATTGACAATGATAGGAAAAAAAAAACGGCCCTCGGTGTAACCATACTCCGTTTACAAGGGGGGCGCCATACAGGGTATGAAATTGAGAAGTTATACATGCATTTCAAGCTGGAGAATAGTAGCAAGATAATGATAAAAACAGACCAGTAGTACTAAGTATTCTTAAGAATACGCTAAAAAAGAGACACAAAATTCAACACCCCATTCCACCCCGCTCCATCTTCTAATGTGTTGAAAGGTTAAAAGCAAAGTGATTGAGTTGGATTCTAAGGACAGGAGATTATTTGCTTGGACCCTAAGAAGAATTTTCTGAATTACTGTAAGCCATCAAGTGTCTAAAGAGAAAATAAGAAACCCATTCAATTCCATATTCCAAAATACAATGAGAATAGACACTCAGCTCCAAAATCATGATTCAGATGCCTCTTTAGAAACTAGCAGGGGGCACCTGGGTGGCTCAATTGGTTAAGCATCTAACTTCGGCTCCGGTCATGATCTCGCAGTTTGTGAGTTTGAGCCCCGAGTCAGGATGCTTCGGATTCTGTGCCTCCCTCTCTCTCTGCCCCTCCCCCCGCTCATGTTCTGTGTCTCCCTCTCAAAAATAAACATTTAAAAAAAATTGAAAAAAAAAGAAACTAGTAAATATGGGGCACAAATTATTGATCCCTTCTCCTACTTGTTTGCCTCATGAAACTGATCCTCGGTAGAAACCAGTAAGTCGGGAAATGTCATCACAAAGTTGGATTCATGTTCACTTTAAAGAATTCCATATCATGTCCTATAGAGTGACGGATAAAGGATAAACTTATAGTTTGTTGACATTTAAAATATGAACAGCATATTTTTAAGAAACATTTCCATTAAGTTGGTGCAGCCACTCTGGGAAACATTATGGAGGTTCCTCAAAAAATGAAAAATACAACTACCCTACGACCCAGCAACTGCACTACTAGGTATTTATCTGAAGGATACAGGCGTGCTGTTTCAAAGGGGCACGTGCACCCCAATGTTTATAGCAGCACTATCGACAATAGCCCAAGTATAGAAAGGGCCCAAATGTCCATCGATGGATGAATGGATAAAGAAGATGTGGTCTATATATACGATGGAGTATTACTCGGCAATCAAAAAGAATGAAATCTTGCCATTTGCAACTACGTGGATGGAACCAGAGGGTATTATGTTAAGCAAAATTCGTCAGTCAGAGAAAGACAAATATCATATGCCTTCCCTCATATGAGGACTTTAAGATACAAAACAGGTGCACATAAGGGAAGGGAAGCAAAAATAATACAAAAACGGGGGGAGGGGACAAAACCATAAGAGACTCTTAAATATGGAGAACAAACAGAGGGTTACTGGAGGGGGTGGGGGAGGGGGGATGGGCTAAAGGGGTAAGAGGCACTAAGGAATCTCCTCCCGGAATCATTGTTGCACGGTATGCAAACTTACTTGGATGTAAATTAAGAAAAAATAAAAATAAAAGAATCGTTTCCACTAAAATTCTTCTTTGCAACTGAACACCACAAATTAACTTAACAGAACTTAAAATGCCCTTAGCAGGTGGTGATCAGCTAGAACACATGCAGTAGCTTATTTCAGCTTTTGGATCAATCTAACAAAAATTAGGAGCGTCACTAGATTTCCAAGGACAGAGAAACAACAGGGTCCTGTTACGTGTTCAGGGAGAAACCTGACTGGTCAGCAGAAACGTGATCCTTTCTTTACTGTTTCTATGCCATCTGCAGGATCATTTGTGTTTCAAAAGACTTGACTATATATGTGCTTTAGAAGAATTTAACTACCTCAGACGTGTAATAAAAATGAATCAGGACATTTAGTGAAAGATTATCACTGCATTAGCAACATTTAAGCCCACTGTATATCCTGAAATGTCTCTGGAAGTTAGAGCCTGATGAGGGGCTCAAACTCACAAGCTGTGAGATCATGACCTGAGCCGAACTCGGACGCTTAACCGGCCGAGCCACCCAGGCGCCCGATCATTAAATATCATTTCATGAGTTACAAGAGAATGGTAATTTCAAAGAACCCCAACACATCTGAAAAGTTTCAAACAAATCAAAAAATAAAAATGTACCAAAGACCCCCCACGTTTTTATACCTATGTTACTGGTCATGAAACACTAATTAATAAATAGAGGTAATTTAGGTAAAAATTAAATATCACATATTTTACTAAACTATACAATTCAAGTGAAAACAAGGTATGAACTGAATAACAAAACACAGCTTCTTAGAAGCCTGACAGTTCAAAAACTTCAGGTGTTTTTTTCTTCTTCTTCTTATGTCCCTGTACATTTTTGACTAAAAGTGAACAGTATTTTTAATTGCCATTTTCAAAACACAAACACCAGTTAGTCATTACCCACCTCCCAAAAACATACATCCTACTAACACACAGTACATCAGCCTTTATACACAACTACAGAGTCATGCTAACACAGCAGGGATATACTTATGAAACACATAGAAGAGTGACATATTGCATACAAATTTTCAGACGGGGGAAAAATCACATTCCTTAAATGGTTTCAAAAAGAAAGGCCAAAGTATATATTATTTTGAAATTTACAACCTAAAATTTTTACCAAAATTGCAGGCATTCTCCAAATTGGCTAACCTGTTTTTATTTGCCATGACACTTCCCCTTGAAAAAGAAAGAACACACAATACGCATCTAAAAACAAATGTGTAAAACACAAGGAAAGTACTTAGTGTCATGTTGGAATATAAAAATTTAAACATTTGGAGAGGCAATGATTTAAAAAGCATAGTGAAAACATTTTCTGTGAGTTAAGGTTTTCAGATTTATTGGGTGATCCAATTTTGGACTTTTCAGTCACAAAATACGGGGAAGAATTTAAAAATCCTAACAACTTATCTGTAAATTTAAGAATACGTTGTCAGATGGGAGGGAAGACTCTCTTACTGTACTATTGTACATTGATATTAATTTAACAGATTTGTCTAAAACAGATGGAAGTCATAGGTCTCTTCACTTTCCCCCGTATATTCAGAAATACGAAAACAAAATTAATTTTTATTCGACATTTCCATCGGTTCCCCCAGTTTTACAGTTTCACAAAACTGTCATTGCTCTTGTCAGACTTACCAGTGTTAAAGTGATGGCTGCAGCTGATAACAAAGGCTTCAAGGCATAGCAACAATAATCCTGTTTAATATCAATTATTAGAAATGTATGGCTTATCTAGAGTCTCACTTCTTCTCTTGGCCCAGTTTCATTTCTCTGTAGGTCGCAGGACCTGAGCTCATCTAGGTCCCTGTTTCCTCCCACCTTATACGGCCTTACCGGTAAATAAATAATTTTCAGACAGTTTACTATTGGGTTTGGCATTAATAATCTTTTTCCACTTAAAGAATGTTACTGGTCTTACAAGTAGACACGACTGTTTCTTTGCTTCAGACCAGAAGATGCGGATTACAATCCTTTGCTTTGAGGTAAATTAATATCAAACTAGAACGCTTTAAATACTTAAAATCCCCATTAATTAATTTCCACAGGTAAATGGCAGCTTGTTATTAACTTGGAAATGTTATATCTGTACCAGAACAGTACAAAAGCCTAGTAAAGCAGTATATTGGGGGCTCTATTATTTTTAGATATCCCACTATACAAAAGAGCCATTAAGTGATACAGAGATCATAAGGGGCTGAGAAAGGAAGGTTAAGAAGCAAAATAAATAAGTAAATAAATAAAACAAGCATTTAGAAGCAAGCAACACATGCGGAACAAGCAAGAGATTAGTTTACGTGAAGAAGAGGCAACTTACATGGCTGTTGAGAAGAGAGCTTCTGTGAGTGGACAGACCGTCAGACTTTTGCAGCGTCTCAATCGCCATTTCAATCTGATAATAGATGTCATTAAAAAAAGGGCTCAAGACAAGACAGTAATAAACGGCTCACCAGAGAATTTTTGATAGATTCTTTAAAGTTCAATTTCTCCTTCAATGGTGGCTAATGAATAGCTCTCAATTAAATGTGTATTTCCCCCATCTTCCCGCCACCCCCAGAGAATAAAATAAAAATATGCACACTAATAATAAGTCTGATCACAAAAGTAAACCTTTTTTGAACATTCTGTAATTATAATCAGAATGGAGGCCTGAAGAGGAGGAACCCCAGTGGACTCTAGTTTCTAGCTATGAGGAAACAGTCTTGACTTTCAGATTTCGAGAGGTGGAGGAGTCACCACTCTCTAAACAGTATTTAATATTTGCTCTATTTTGTCATCAAAGAAAAATGACACTGCAGATCTTGTGTTTAACATGCATTAGTATTTTAATGCAAATGTACAAAGACACCCTCATTCGTGTTCAAAAGCTACTAAATCTATCCATTCCTCTCTTAACCCTGTATTAAAATTTGGACGTGGAGGGTCATTAGTATGAATAAACACTGAAATGTAATCATGGTCCCTACATTATATTTTAGGAAGTGGTGGTCAGGCAGAGCTGTTGGAAATGACAGCAGAAATGGAACACAGAAGAGAAAATAATTCAGAGTCGACAAAGAAAAGGGACAGAAAGAGTCTGATTCCATGTAATCTTAGCATACCATGAGCAATCAGAACACCTTAATTAAGTAGCAGGTGCCAATAATAAATGAGATGCGCTCTTGATAACTTCATATTCAAGGATCTCTATCGCTCAGCTCCTAGCCCTAAAACACATACTGTAAATTCAGGTTCGGAACACCCTACCCTGTATTTGGTTACTGGGTTATACCAACAGTATTAACTGAAATTAAATTTTAAAAAATCACATGTGACAAAGAAAATTGATTACATTACTTTTATTTCTACCATCTGATCAAATCAACAATTTAGTATAAGCAGCTATAAAAAATATTTAGTGCTTTCAAATGTAAACTGACTCATACTTTACAGCGGCTATGGAAATTAATGATGCTTTGAAATTCTAACACACAACATCCCCCTTCACCCCGCCCGGACCAGCACAAAAACAACGGATAGCAATGTCCATAGCAAAGTCTTTTTTCCCCCATCAATTTGCCAATTTCTTTCTGGTGGAACTTTATCCACAGAATGTTCAGTCTCATTTAGATCAACATCAAATCTAATTTTCTCCCATACAACTTGGGAATTTAATAGCTTTAATTTTATTTTATGCTATTTCTACAAGTTACTGGTTCTTCCTCTTGAGAGTTAATAAAATAGAATACTGACAAAAATGTTAGGTCAGAAACTATAGAAACAATATTTTTAAAATAGACAGAAAGCTTCCTAAGATGATGTAATACAATTTGTTTCACTGCTAATTTTTTTTTTTTTTTTTTTAAGAACACAAAATTAAGTAACTTGGCTTCTAAAGCATTTTCCCTGCCAGGTGGAATGTTCTATTCGTAGAGTTTACCAGCATACTTGGAAATAAACTGGAGAAGGTGATATTGTACAAGTGAAAAAAGACACATGACAGAAACAGCAATGTAAATATAATGAGTAACCAGTTTACTAAAATGTGAACCTGGAAAACTATAAAGGACCTCAGTATTGCATCTCTTACAAGGGCATCAGTAAGTGTTCTTGTTTTCAAAGAAAACACACACATAAAGAAAAAAAAAAACAGCTGAAAAGCCTAATCCTCACGTGACATTAGATCACTTATATGAAGAATTCGCTCAAAACTCCAATTTGCTAAACTGCTTACATTTCCTTTCAAGCTTGAGTGTGGAAAATTTAAGGTTAGATTTCAGTCTGGTAAATAAAAATGAAATGACCTGTGTCGTGTGGTTTTTACACGTTTAGATGAAAGGTAAAAATTATCAGGAATGTAGCTGTCATACTGGTGGAGAAACCCATGTCTGCATTTGTTTTATTAATCAGCAGTTTTAATTTCTTTAGGACTGAAAGGATTGGAGGTTGCTGTTTTTTGTCATTAAAAAGGGGGCATGTTAAACACTTTCCGTTTCTTCCTTAAGCCGGTTAAGCTTCAGACTGCGATTATGCATGAGGTTATTTTTTGAAAAGTCAGTTCTCTGAACGAAGGTTCGAAAGGTGCCCGGTTGCAGCTCTTACTGAACAACCATCCTTAAGGTGAGTCGCGAGTACCTCGCCTCTCTGTAGTTATCTAATGCTAGGTGACACGGGACTACTGTCTCATAATCAGATAAGAGACTATGGCAACTCTTCTGAGATCAAGTGGCGGCATGCTCCGTCCGAGAAGAGACGTCCAGCCTGGAAAGACAGGCCCTCAGAGCTTTAAGTGAGATTAGTGGGGTGAATGAGGCCAAGAGACTCCCTGTGGGAAAGAGCAGGTAAGAAACCGCTGTCCAACGCAACCAGTCTGGGCATGTGACTCCCTAAAAAGTCTGGAAGACAAAGAAGATCCTTATCAACATACTAGGGACTATTTCAGACCCGCCAGCTTCAGCAGCTAAAACAGGACTCCCGTGAGAGTGGGAATGTACTCTGGGGGTGGTTCTCGGCCAGAGATAGGAAACTCTGGTCCAGTTCAACTGCAGACATACTTTCAGAAATGGGAGAAGAGGACTGTGCACCGTGTTTAGACAGGCTGCTGAAACATCAGAGGGATGGCAGGCTTCTGGTGTGCAAAAGCCAGGAACATCAATGAGGCGCTGTCCAGCCCTGGGAATCGTATGTGGTCCCAAAGCCTCAGATGCAGCCCAGAGACAGAATGCCTGGCCAAGTCCCAAGAGTCACAGCTCAGGTAATGAGAACTTCCTACCCCCACATGCCAGGTTGCTTTCTGACCACACGTTAGCCAGAAGATACAGAGACCTCTTTCCATCGTGTCATGTGACAAGGTATCATGGAGCGTAGTGTGAAAAATCAGACCCGCTTGAAACAACTTGCTGAGAGAGTCATTTCCAGTGAAGCCTATTCAGAGAAATCAGACTTCATCGGAGAGCAACAGGGACTTCCATGAGTTTTGCTGTCAGTGAAGCTGAATTTGGGCGAAGAAAGAGGAAAGGGACCCTAGCTGCTATAAAAAAAAAATCATTTGGGGCGCCTGGATGGCTCAGTTGGTTAGGCGGCTGACTTCGGCTCAGGTCACGAACTCGCAGTCCGTGAGTTCGAGCCCCGCGTCGGGCTCTGTGCTGACCGCTCGGAGCCTGGAGCCTGTTTCGGATTCTGTGTCTCCTTCTCTCTGACCCTCCCCCGTTCATGCTCTGTCTCTGTCTCAAAAATAAATAAACTTAAAAAAAAAAAATCATTTGGGATTGTGTCACATTCCCATTTAGGAACTGGGGAAGTAAAGCGAATAGAGGTATAACACTCAGCTTCCCCAACCAAACGTTGAATTCTCAAAAGACGGAATCCCAGGGAACGCAGTAAGTGGGGTTCCTTCACTTGGGCACATGGCTCTCCACCCTAGGCCCGGAGTGCTAGTTAGAGACTATACCAACTACTTTCCTTCTGGTATAGAATGTGGCATGACCACAGGGCAGGAAACAGACTTTAATTCTCGTGTGATGGAATTAAGAAGGAAAAACAAGTGTGGACTCTGTAAGGGAGGGGACACCCCTATTATTTTGAGAGTATAGCAAATATGCACAATCTGTGGCAGTCTGTGCCAGAGAAGGAAATCTTTCCTGATTTCTCAGGAATCAGGATCAGAAATTCGGAAGAGTCCAGAGAGGTGCTGTATTTCATATCCAGGAGAGGAAAACAAACAAACCAACCCACAAAACCTCAGTGGCGCTCCTACAAAAAGAGAGCAAACCCTCTAAGAAGGACACCTGTTACCTGATGGGGGGATAGATACACAGTATGAGAGACGTGTGGCCTTAAGCCCAGGCGGCAAACTCTTTTCCAGTCACTTTAGTGCCAATGTCCTTGTTGGAATCAAGGACAGGTGCAGAGTCTCCATCCAACCAGCCGGGGATACCTTGAGGCTTGTGCCATACCCAGCCAAGAATCAGTGTCCCCAAAAAGGACTTCAGAGGAAAGTCCCACCCAAGCCCTTAGGAAAGGAGAATGGGAGAAGGAAGAGGGGTCAGAGAGTATCTGGAGGTCCAGGAGATACTTTGTTTGTATCCTTTTTTCCCAAGCTCAAAGAAGGGATCAATATTGTACTGTTTTTTCCCCTAAGGCAGCAAATACTTATAAAGATAAAATTGAAATCGGGGAAAAAAAAAACCACATTTTATCCGTTATTTATAATTCCCCATTATTACTTACAATTGGTATTTATAATTTCCCGTGATATTCTATTATGGATGGCCCCTTACTATTCTAGGATTGCCCCTTGTTTTGCAAAGTTGCTCCCAGCCTCAGGGGTCGAGAGATTTACAGAAGATGGGGACCTGGGAAGACGGAGGTCAACGTTCACCTCACATGCAGGAAGAATGGGCCGACTGTGGAGGGCAAGGTGGTGCAAAGAGGCTTCGCGTGACTGTGCTCTGGAGAGCGTGGTGCTAAATCCTCAGCTTCTGCCCCTAAAAGTCTTCAGTAAAATCTAGGCCACTCGCAGATACTGTGGGCACAAGTAATCAAGGCTGGCTGGAGCACAGGGTCCACTTAGGGGCGGGCGATAATGTCAAAAAGGTATAAACCGCCGTTTGAAATGCAGCCAAATGAGAAGAAATGAGTCTTTGGCATGAGTTACACGGGGCTAGAGAGAGGCTCCCCGGACATGTGATTTTTATACCCATTTATGAATGCGTATGCAATGGGTCAAACAGAGTATCTCATATGTGGACAATTAGGACTTTCTCTTAATGTAAATATCAACCAGTCAGTCATTCCATTACATGCTAATAAAGCTGAAGGAAAAAGAATAATTCTGTCACCTTATTCATTGTCTTCATAGGTCAAGGCACATTCTCTTGACTCTGAAATGGCTTTTTAATCTATTTTAAAGAC